AGCCGGCCAGCTTCCGGTTCCGGCCGGCCGGATCAAAATACAGGAGCTGCTGCTGCTACTCCTCCGTTCTCCCTCGCCGGCCTGGTAGCTTAGGACAAGTCTTGCGTTGTTTCAGTCGTCGATCGGCGCCTGCATGCAGATGCAGATCAGCAGATGAAATGCATGGCTGCGTAAATACGTACGCAGACAGGCACAGGACTTGACGAATTCACAAGACATGCTAAAATTTTCAGCTGGTTTTGATTCTTGAGTATAGCTATATATACTTGCTCCTGCAGCATGCTGCTGGCTGCTGCCATGTGAACGAAGCATTTTTTTGTGCGTTTCTCTAGAAGGAAAATTTCACCCTTGGGCACTCAGTTGGAGTAGTTCTATGAAACGGTGTGGCGCACAGTGCCAAATTCTTAGGGCCTGTTCGGCTGGTATTAAAGCCGGCTGATAAGTCTGTAGATTCTAGCTGACAAGCCGACTGATAAGTTTAAGCGAACATGCCATTAGTTTGGACAATATTAGCAAGCTATTTTCCTAGTTTGACAACAAGTTCCGGCTCAAAACTCCTTCGGATGTTCCTTTTTGCAATTTCCAAATAACTCCATGGATGGTACTCCAAATTATAAGTCATTCTGGTTTTTCTAAATACATACCTTTTTCTATGTATCTAGATAAAATGTATATCTAGGTGTGCTTAGTAAAAGCTATGTATCTAGAAAATCCAAAACAACCTACAATTAACATGGAGAGAGTAATTAACAATTACAAATTGCCCATGATAGCATAACAACTACTTCGATCGGTTCTTTTATCCAATAATGTCTTTGTCAGAAATAAATCCTGGTAGCCACTGCGTTTGAGTTGGTATGGCTTTACACAGTCTCCTGCAGGTCCAACCAAAGCCAACAAGACTTTTCCTAACCCAAAATGAACCATTCTTCCCTGACCACTTTTGGCCACTTTTGTGTTTTATTTTTCTAGCAGCTGCCGTTTTGTCAACTCCTATCTATTTCCAGTCTCCAACTAATTAATTAGAGGATCATGCAATGCCATTGTACTTTTAATATACGTATGACTTGTGGATGAGCAACTGGTTGAGTAAGAGTAGTAGATGGATCCTTGTCTGCAAGAGAGCAGTTTTCTTATTCCTAAGTTTCGTATTTAAAAGAAATATAGAGGTGCTGCATTTTTTTATCTGTATATTGTCAATGTCCAATCTATATATATCTTATAAAAGCAAATTAAACCCACTAGAATGTCTATCTCTCTATGTAAGCTATACACATCAGCAGTCCACTAGGACATTCAATATCTATTTGGCCCCGTTCGCTTCGCTGAAAAAACAAACCGAAACACTGTTTCAGTTGATTTGTTGTAAGAGAAAAACACTGTTCCAGCTGAAAAAACAAGCTAAAAAGTACGGATTATAAGAGAAGCGAACAGGGCCAATGAAAGATATCCACACCAGCAAGCCACGTACATCATCCACTAACATGCATTTATTTGTCAATTTTAGCATACCACACCATTTATTAATATTTGTTTATAATAGTTTATCCCTTCATCAGGCAACTAAATATAAGTCATCTAATTTAATTTCAAATCATTCATGATCCTGTAGCAATGCACAGGATATTCTTTTAGTTTCCATATAAATAATGTACACATGAAAACGAGAGGACCGTTAAGGCACCTCCAATAAGATAGAGTCATCTACTCCCTCTGTCCTCTAATATAGTGCACTGTAGGAATTTTAAGACAAATTAAGAGAGAACATAAAAGACGCATGTACCCTCATTTTATTTCATAATCCAACGCTATCATGAACGTGATTAGTGGTGATTGGTTGATAAATGGAAAGTATTTAATGCAAAAATAGGTTTTGTCCTCTAGAATGCCTTATATTTAAGGATAAATGTTGAATGCTAGAATACACTATATTACAGGATAGAGGGAGTAGGTAGATAGCTAGAGAGATCCATGCTATTCTTTGCCCTACATGTGGAGAGTTAAAGAAGAAAGAAAAGATTGCCAACTACTAGCTAACTAATAGTTTATTTTAGAATCTAAGATGCAAATGGAATTTAATGTAGAAGTTAGTTGAGCATGCTATAATACGCTACAATTAATACATTGAAGGGGTTTGTAACATTCCAAATATTATTAGAGAGAATTACTTGCTTGGCCTACAAAAGTTCCACTTTCTTTCTTGGCCATTTTAGTTTTAAAGATACTTATTTAGCTTGAAATACAAACTTTGGTTCCTTATTTGGCCCTTCCATTAGATTTGGTCAGTAACAGTGTTAAGGGTGGCGTTAATTGACACTTCAACCCATGGGCTAGAGAGTGCAGAGTTTACTTTTGATATATTCATTTTGAGAATTATGTAGACTATTTTCGCATGGTTTTAGGTCATCATAATTGCACAAAACAAGGTGCACTTAAACATGGAAGTATATTTTCTCTATATTTGCACAAGCCAATCAATTAAACAATAAGATGCACAGATACACCACAATTACCTTCACAAATGCACATAAAATCCATGCAGAGGGTTAAAAGTGTCAATTCACGCCCCCCTTAACACCGTTAGTGGCCAAATAAGGAACCAAAGTTGTATTTTGAGCCAAATAGGTAACTTCAAAACTAAAAGGGCCAAGGAAGGAAGCGGAACTTTTTTTGGGACCCAGAAAATATTTCTCTCATATTAATAAACATGTCATGGAGCATAACATGTGCATCATCTCTAACATCCATGTAAATTTTGAGGATGGTTTGAATACTTTTGAAGTTAATCTTAAAAACCATGTTTTTGGTATGCGCTTATGATGGGAGTTTGGATTTCATCATAGCATATATGCTATTGAATCATATGACAAAAATACTAATTTATCAATAATGATTTTATATACAAGGGGGACTTTCAGAATTTGCTTTAATAATGAGACCCTGGCAAGAATCTAGTAGCCATTATGTTTGAGTTGGTATGGCTTCCAAACAGATAAGTCCTCCTTTTTTTTAAACTAAGATAAGTCCTCCCTAGACCCAACCAACTAGATTTTTCCAAACTAAATTGAATTATTCTTTCCTTATTACCACTTCCATCGATTAAATAGATCATAATAAATGCAAACGTTGTGTACAGTACGAACATGACTTTCTTATATACTAGAAGAATACCCTGCGCATTGCTGCAGGACTTTCTTAAAAATGAATTGTTACTTGTATGAGTTAAATCATCTACATGTTCTAACATCCATTTTTATTAAAATTGGATTTATTAAGAAGTTATAAGTTAGTGGGATGACATGCCAATTAGTGGGAGATGATGTGGATAGTTAGTGGGAGATGATGTGGATTTATCAAGAAAAAGATTTGATATTTGTATTTCTGAAGATAAAACATATAAGCTATCCCATATAACAATCATTACCTGTTTTTATAGAAAAACCATAGTATTTTTTTAACAAACGAAAAAGTAATATTTCCATTCCTAAGTTTCAGTTTTTCACGTACCATTATTCTAGTATTTCTAAAATACATACCATTCCAAAATAGGAATAAGCCTGCTAGTGCAATTTTGAAAATTGACAGCGACAAAGACATTCAGTATGCACCGTTTGGATTAGGTAAATGACGATGACCCCATTTAACCTTATATATGAATTCCAATTACCAAATCATTTAGTTTTCAGGTATTAGAAAGTTTCAATCCACCTTTTTTTTTTTGCAATTTCGATCTTAATCATGTATATATGCTACCAAAAAATATAGAGTCTATACCATGTTTGAGTTAGTGGGAATAATTAAATATTACATTCTTCTAGAAGACAATGAACGTGACAGATCACGTCATGTTTTACCAATAGTCCAACATGTACTCCTAGTAGAGAAATAAACCATAATTAATAGTCTCGGACCCCTAGTTTTCGAGTTGGTATATGGCTTTACACAGTGCCATGCGCGCAGAGCCGCAGTCATGGCCAACAAAGAAGACTTTTTCCTAACCCAAATAGAACCATTCTTTACTTACCACTTTTGGCCACTGTGTTTATTTTTCTATAACACCTGCCAATTTGTCACCCTCTATCTACTTCCTGTCCTCAGCTATACTTGATTAAAGGGTCAGCATTTAGAAGCTAGTACTAAGAGCATCTCCAAGAGTTTTCAAAACCCACTCCCAATCTTGACTTATTGGCAAGATTGAAAAAAACCTCTCTTACCGACAACTCTTTTATGTCAACTCTTAATCTTTCCGCACTTAGGAAGATCGTTCGAATCGCGCGGAAAGATATTCGCACCTATCCAATTGGGCAATCTAGAGGTGGGAAGGACATGAGGGAAGAATAAGAAAAAAGTACATACTTCCTAATGCAAATGTATAAAAGGGAAAGAAAATGGCTGGGGTGACTTGAAAATAGTCTAGATGCAAAATAGCTTTCTAGCTTTTAGGAGCAAGATATTGGAAATGATTGCAAAAGGGCCAACCAATATGTTCCTAATTTTTTTAGCGACTTCTCAAACTCGATTTATCATTTTTTTTAACTATTGGAGATTCTGTAACAAGGTTGCTGTGATCGGAGGCTACATTAACTAGTAGTGACGGCATGAGCAAAAAAGCAAATTTGTTATTGGTCAGATCATATGGTAAAGGACCCGGCACGATACTGACCGGGTGCACGGCCGTCCGGATTAAGTAAACGAAAATCCCCGGTGACAGTATTAAAAACACATATGTACAGCCCAGCCCAGAACCCAGATGATCTGGTCACTGCATTTTGACCGGTCAGCATCAGTGACCCAGCCAGCCCTTGTCCTCTCATCGTCTCGCCCACTTCTCCTGCTCCATTTCCTGATTCCTTCGTATAAAAACACACCTCCTACCCGTGGCCTCCCATCGATCGTCTTCGTCTCCCTCCCTCGCTTGCTGAGGAACCAGCAAACCAGTTTATTTGACCATCCAGCAGCCGAGCATTTATCGTCCATCTCCCCGTCCGGCGACCCGCGACATGCTGCTGCACCTGCAAACCGTCCGGTTCCTCTGCTCCGTCGTCGCCGCCTTCGCTCGCCTCGTCCGCGAGCTCCGCAAGGCGGCCGCCATGGCAACCGCCGCATGCTCTCCGTCTCCTGTCGCTGTACTCACTGCACCCGCCGTGTCGCCCATCGGCCTGATAGCATCCACGCCGCTCCCGAAGCGAAGGAAAACGCTTGCGCAGGCTGCCGTCCCGGAGAACCTGCTCGTCGCGCCGCCGCCACCGGTGGTGGTTCTTCCTCTTACTGCAGTGGTGTCGGACGATGTCAGTGGGGTCGGGATGGTAGAGCAACAACAAGCTGCTCAGAGCATGACGAAGACGAAGGCCGCGTGGGCGGCCAGGAGGAGGCCGTCGAGGCTCGTCATACCGGTGGCGGACGACGCTGGCGAGGTCGCCGCCGGCTGGGGCGTGGCTGCCGCGCCGGCGAAGGATGCCGACGTGGAGGTGGAGGGGGACGGGTTTTGGCTGGCCAGTAGAGCAGGACCGAGGCATGCGATGGAGGATGCGTATGCTGTGGTCACTGACAAAAATGATGCAGATTCTCAGCTGGTAATTACTAAATCTTTGCCATCACGTGAAAAATATTAATTTGATTCATTATCTTCAGGCAAAGTTTCACCACTTAGGCACTTGCACTGATTTTTCCTCATAATATATGGCACCTCAATTTGCGAGCATTTATTGGTTTAGATAAGAATAGTTCAGGGTTCCATTTACAAGTTTTTACAAGATACAATAATATCTATATATACTACTAGAACAAAAAAGTGTTCAGTATACATAATGGGAAATTAAAAACAAACTTGTTTTCCACTCTATGCCCATTTAGTACTCTGTTTTTGTGAGGGATTATTCTCTTTTGTGTCATTTTTTGCGAAATATATGCACAATTAATTAATCATTTAGGTAATTGATTGGAAATATACATGTACACTCCTATATATGTGGTACTGTTGTAGGTACATATATAGATTTTTTGGTCAAAAAATAAATTTATGTTTAGTTAAATTATTGTTGTGAGTGTGAGGTAAATCATTGAGGTGTACCCAAATCATTAAGTGTTGAGATACTCCGCCTTTCTTTGTTGTGAGTATTAGGAAGTCAGACAGCAGACAATTAACACATATTATAACACAATAAAGAAAGGCTAGATATCTCACTCTCTGATCGAAGCATAGCTCCACTAGAAGAACATATATCAAATCCGATCTGTTTTGACCCAGTAAAAGACTGGCGTTACAGTTACACTCAACACTGAAGAAATAATAATATTACAAAACTTTATTGTTAAATCTTTCTCAACTTCATTTCTCGCAGGCATTCTACGGTGTCTTCGACGGCCACGGCGGCCGCGCGGCCGTGGACTTCGTCTCCGAACGTCTAAGCAAGAACGTCGTGTCCGCGGTCCTCGCTGCCACGGGGACGACGGAGACGCGCCGCGAAGCATTGTCGGAGGACGCCGTCTCGGCGGCCATCAGAGCGGCCTACCTGGCCACCGACAGCGAGCTCCTCACGAAGCATCAGGTGTGTACCGCGCGACAGTGACGCCTACGCACGTTAGGTTCCTTCGTTTGTTTACCGCGTCTACGCAGTTTGCGACGTTGAACGCGTCAAAAGCTTCTTTTGTTGTTGCGATAGATACATATTTTTTTTGGATGCTCATGTGATTGCGACTAGGGTTTTGAGGGCGTACGTACACTACTTGCCGACTTGCCGTGTCCCTAGCGTCCCGTAAAAAACAAAAAAAAGCTTTAGAATTTCAATGTGAAAAAACAAAAGTAATGACCTCTGATCTGTTTGATCTTTGAACTAACGCAGGATGCAAGCGGCGGTGCGTGCGCCGCGACGGCGGTGGTGAAGGGCGGCGACCTCTACGTGGCGCACCTGGGCGACTGCCGCGCCGTGCTGAGCCGTGACGGCGCCGCGGCCGCGCTGACGGCGGACCACACCTGCGCGGCGGAGGACGAGAGGGCGCGCATCGAGCGGGAGGGCGGCTACGTGAGCCGTAGCGGCAGCGGAGTGTGGCGCGTGCAGGGCAGCCTCGCCGTGTCGCGCGCGTTCGGCGACGGCGCGCTGAAGCAGTGGGTCGTCGCGGAGCCAGCGGTCACCAGGGTGCCCCTCGCCGCCGGCTGCGGTTCTTGGTCATTGCGTCCGACGGGCTCTGGGACAAGATCAGCAACCAGGAGGCCGTCGATGTCGTCTCTAGGAGCCGGGCGACGGCGTGCGTGGGGAGCTCGTGGACATGGCACGGCGCAGGGGAGCCAGGACGACGTCACCGTCATGGTAGTCGACCTCCAGAGGTTTGTAAGATAGGATTGACGGATCACAGCTGTTGGATGGGAGACACTAACTGATGAGCAACACGTTTCACCTGGGTTTTGATTGAGGGAGAGGTGGTGAAAGTGAACCGGAAGATGATAAACTGACTGACCACACTACAACACAGCTTGTTCATTTATTGTAGATATTCAGCATTATTATTTTTTATTTGCATCCCTGCTGCTGGCCGGGGAGCAAAAATTAGTTGCTGTAAACTGTTAGAAGGAAAGTGTCCGATGGATGAAAATGACTGTCTTGATTGATGAACAGTATACAGCTATTTATACAAGCCCAATGGTCAGTTGCCTGTTGGCCAAAAAGTGTCTCTATAGTGAACCATCATTAGTAGTTGCTAATGACAAGATTAACTAATTAATCACAATTTATTTAATCTTAACACTCTCCCTTGATCAATTGGTTCCCGTAGAAGTCTTTGTTTGTTCATCAGTCATCATCTTGAAGCTTTGGAAAACCTTGTGGGAAAAAACCAAAGTATACCGATATACCAGGCAAAACTCTTTGAAACCCAGTGAGAAAAATAAGAAGAAACACCATGATATATATATAACTCCAATGTTAATAGACCCTTTAGGTGTCCCAAAGACATAGTCTAAAAACAATTTGATCAAAGATCAATATGTCATAAATATTATCTTCGGAAAACCTCTATGAGGAAAAATAGATAATATGACATTTACTATGTGTTAACATTACCTCATTAAAAACTTTATGTGAGAAAACTCTAGAAGAGTAAAACTCATATAAAGGAAAAGAGTATAATGTGATGTTGAAACAGGTTATATTTTAGAGAGGTTCTCCCCCTGATTCTTGCAAATCTCTAAGTCTGCTCATACCAATGCCCTCAACATATTTATGGAATGCAGAGTATGGTAGAGATTTTGTGAATAAATCTGCTAGATTATCACATGACTTAGTTTGCAAGATTTCAATTTCTTCATTCTTTTGGAGTTCATGGGGGTATAACAACTTGGGAATAATATGCTTAGTCATATTACTCTTAATATAACCTGATTCCATTTGTGTGACACATGCCGAATTATCCTCAAAGATAATTGTCGGTATCTCAAGTGCACCAATACTACATGATTGTATTATGTGGTTTATCATTCTGCGAAGCCATACACATTCGCGTGATGCTTCATATAAAGCAATTATTTCAAAATGATTGGTGAAAGTGGACACCAAAGTCTGCTTTGAAGACTTCCAAGATATTGTTGTTCCACCTTGCAAGAATACAAAGGCTGTTTGTGATCTGCCATTGTGGGGATCTGATAAATAACCAGCTTCTGTATATCCTAATAAAATTGGATCTTGATTTTTACTATAGAATAATCCAAGATCTCTAGTACCATTGAGATATCTTAAAACAGTTTTAACTCCTATCCAATGACGTTTGGTAGGTTCAGCACTATATCTTGCCAGCAAGTTTACTACGAATGCAATATCCGGTCGAGTGCTATTAGCAAGATACATTAGTGCTCCAACGACACTAAGATATGGGACATGTGGTCCCAATATCTCTTCTTCTTCTTCTCATGGTCTAAAAGGATCCTTTTCAACATCTAAGGATCTCACTACTATCAGGGTTTTGTTGGATATGACTTATCCATATTGAATTTCTCTAATACTTTCTGGACATAGGCAGCTTGGTATACAAATATACCAAAACGTAAATGCTTAAGTTGTAAACCCAAGCAGAATTTGGTTTGACCCAAATCTTTCATTTCAAACTCTGTCTTTAAATGATGACGTGCTTCATTAATATCGGGTTCGTTGCCAATGATATTTAGATCATCAACATACACTGATATGATACAAAGTCCTGTTGATGATTTTTAATGAAGACACATGGGCAATCATCATTATTTGTGTATCCCTTCAACTTAAGGAATTCACTTAACCGATTGTACCACATTCAAATTGTTGCTTTAAGCCATATAATGACTTCTACAACTTGATTTAATACATGTTGCAATTTGCTTTGGGATTTGGTATACTAATTCTATTAGGAACTTTCATGTATATCTCAGAATCCAATTACCCATACAAGTATGCGGTCACCTCGTCCATCAAGCGCATAGATAAACAATTTTATCTTGCTAGAGATATTAAATATCGGAATGTTATTCCACTCATTACCAGAGAGTAAGTTTCGTTGAAATCAATGCCAGGTCTTTGCGTAAAACCTTGTGCCACAAGCCTTGCTTTTATATCTCATCACTTTGTTGTTTTCATTCCTTTTACGGACAAAAACCCATTTGTATCCCACAGGAAGATACTAGGGGTGTTGGCATTACAACCAAAACACTTCCCTTTTATAAAAGCGAGGCAATCTACTGTTCAATTGCTACCTTCCACCTATCCTAGTCCGAGCGCTTCTTGCACTCCATCATAGACTTAGGATCCTGAATAAGTTTGAAGGATATTTGCAATTCGTTTGAGAGAAATAAATGTCGACTATTATGGACTTACGATTATAAGACTCCAGTTTCTATGAAATTTATAGCGATTTCGTCTACCCTTAAAGATTCATCATGACTTCTCGAAACGATGGATCTAGGGTCTTCGATGTTCAGCCTTAGTGTTTATGCATAACTAAGCTAGATTGTGGATCACTTCTATCAACGAGGACATTGTATGTCCTCTAGGTGTCTTTAACCAAAGGTTGAGTTGCATTTTCAGTCTTCTTTTGCTTGCCCGACAATCACATCTTGCCTCTTGGAAGTGCTTCTCCCCTCTTTTGCTAATTTGGGGTGAGTGGTTTTATTACGCATACCTCCACTCTTTCAGACACATTCCTTGCGGGATGGAGAGACTTTGTAACACCTTTATAATCGGAGAAAACGTTTGGTAGATTATTTGCAATATTTTGCAAATCAATAATTCCTTTAACTTGTAGTTCAATTTTGGTAGTACATAGATCGGAAAATGGAATGCCTTATGCATTCCAATCAATTTCTTGGCATTTCTTTTGGTACAATTCTCCCCCTAATGCCGTGAAATGATCCTCATTAAAAATACAATCAATGAATCAGGCTATAAATAGATCCCCATTAGAGGGTTCTAAGTACTTAATGATCGATGGAGATAAATATCCCACATAGATCCCTAGTTTCCTATGAGGATCCATCGATGTCCACTGAGGTGGTGAGATGGGTACGATATCGCACACACCCAAACTTACTTAAATGGGAAATACTCAGAGGATTCCCACGTACTAACTACAAATAGGATGTTTTGTGATATGTAGTTGGTCGTAGTTGGATCGTTGAGAAATTCCCATGATTGTGCCGCCATTGGCTGCGTGGGAGAGATCGTTGAGGCATGGCGGGGCCTATGGGTTTCCTCGAATACCATTGGTATATCGGTGAGGAAGCAAGCCTCCAAGTTACCGAGAAAGGTCAAGCTAGAAAGGAGGCGTAGTAGTTGCTAACATCGTCCCACCCTAGCCGCATCTGCATTGGTCTAGTGCCACACGCCAATGATGGGGTTGCCGTAGATGCTGCTGGAGGTCGCCCTGTAGTGGCTGTGGAGGTCGTCAAGGGCCGCTCAAGGTCTGCAATGAGGTGGCGGTGATCTCAATGGCTAGCTCATCGGGAGAGCCAAACAAATGTGATGTGGGGTGCCGCCGCCACCATTATTGCCGGCATCGACGTCGCGTGATCTGAGGCGTGAGGAGGCCAACCGAGGGCTTACGCGGTGGCATGGATGGAGCTACGGTAAAAGTGGATGGAGCTATGGCGTGTGGATGGTGGTGAGACAGAAGCGCTAGAGAGGCGACGGCGTGATCGAGTTCGTTGATGAGCAAGAGGCGGTGGAGGTGGCGGCGGGGTTATAGTAGGAGTTTTAAATATCCTCTACGAACTAGCATGGGAATTCCTACGACGACATGTTTTAGATTACCGGGTGGGCGGGCGATTGGGCGGACGAGACGGTCAAACTACCATGAAATGCAGAGTTTTCTGGTTCTCTTTCTGATCTACACATTTCTTTCTGTTTATATTTTTTACTGCACACGTAAGAAAGTTCGCTCGCTGTACATTTCATCTTGTGGGATAGTATATAGTGTCGTCTGTACATTTGAAAGTCATAGCAAATTGAGTGCATGTGTTCATACCGCCTCCGGGCCGGTTTGTTAGGCGCATGGGATGAAATTTCAGATACTAGGGAACGAAAAAAGACTATGAAATTGCATTAATTAAAAATATCATGTACAAGCCTCTATTGGAGCCATCTCCCTAGCTTCCATGCATGTATGCATGCAGCCTTTAATTGGAATGAACCAGAGACGAGCTGGCTTCCATCAGGAGTTAATTGCATGCTTGTTTCTAGGATACGCCTAATAATATGGATTTTTTCTAAAACCCGCGGGCACCTAATAAAGCGACAGCATCAACCACAGCCCAAGAATGCAGTCGATCAGAACCTATGAAACTATGTAGCCATCTCTAGCTAGCAGCTGCCCCTCGGCTGCTGCGAGCCTGTGACTGCTTATATTGGAATGCACTGTATACTTTGCTGGATGATAGAAGTTCCGACCATCTAAAATATTCACTGCTCGGATACTAGTAATTATAAACCTCGTGCGGTCACGTTAGAAGCCTGTTCTCGCCCTAGCATCCTTGTGTGTACAAAGCCTGGCCTCACTCCCATTGTATAGACATCTCTAGCTAGCTGACTGCCTTACTGCCCCTCGACTACAGTGAGTCCTCTTCATAGCCGCACCAGGCTTTCAAGTCTCAAGCGTGTCATGGTGGTCAAAAGCTCTTCTTCTAAGATGCACTTCTTGTGTCTAGCTTTCTCAGCATTTACTTCACTCTTGGCAACAATGCAAGGTCTATATGGGAGGAGCATGCCCTTATGTAGGATCTGCAGTGCGCCCTAGAGGGGGGTGAATAGGCCTATAAAATTCAACTCAAACCGAAGTCAAATCACTCACCCACGGCACTATCGCTCTGTGTAGCGATGACAAC